ACACATAACTTGATTCGTAAACTTATTATTAGATTTGCTTTAGCGTATATGATTTTTTTTTTTGGTTGTTACCAACATCTTGTGAAAATTTCAAGCCAACAGCACCTTTAGAAATATGTTTTTTGATAAAACTGGTACAAAAATGGTCATGTATCACAATAAATTAAGATATTGAAGTATAAGTATACAAGGAAGCATGAAAGTTCTTTTCAAATAGGCCTGGATTACATACACTAGTGCTACATCTGTTTATTGAGTTTCCACCCATTTCATGGCCATTAAAATTTACATAATCTCTATTGTAAAAATAGTATTACAATTAGTCAACCTCTTAACAGTCATTTATTTTAAAAAGGAGATACAAATAGTTCACAAACACTGTTTTTTAGTGATAATTTTAAATTGATATTAATATTAGTATCTAGTTTTTTGTGATTTAAACTCTTCAATCCTCAACGTAGAATCATTACTTGAGAAAATTACAAAAAAATCCAGTTTTAGTTATTTCCTTAAATAATCTTTTTTTCAATTGTACTCCTGCATAAAAACATGACATCTGAAAAGTACTAAAATGTATTTATCTGTTTCTGCAATAATGTATATCCTGCTGCTGCCGTATAACCTGAGTCTGGTGTGTTTGACAAACCTGTATACTCTGTAAACAATGTAATAACAAAAAGTCAAGAGAACAAACATTTTTCTGTTGCTTTAAAGTATTTAAAAAGAGAATTAAGTTTCAGCTACATTTTAAAGTTATAGAAAGTTTAACTTAATATTTTAGTTAGTGTGACTTGATGTAAGTTGAAATGATTAGAAAACTTTATTTGATTCAACAAAAATTAAGGCAGCAAGATTTTTTTTTACAGTGTAGACTGGAGGATTGTTCAAATATTTTTGTTTCAAATATTGTGCAAATATGATGTCTTCAAGCTTAGACCTTTCCTCATTTTGTGATTTTTATCATGTTGACGTCTTACAAAGTATTTGTGTATTAAAATATATTTTAAAAAAAGTTAAAAAAGCTATTTTTATGAAATATTCTTACATTTCATTATTATTAAACAGCCGAATACAACTTAGGAAATACACTACCAGTCAAAAGTTTGGGGTCAGTAGGATTGTTAAATGTTTTAAAAGAAGCTTCTCCTGCTCACCAAAGCTGCATTTATTTAATCAAAAATGCAGTTCAAATAGTAAAACTGTGAAATGTTATTGCACTATAAAATAACTCTTCAAAAGTAGTTTATAATTTAATTTAATCATTTATTCCAGTGATTTTTAAGATGCATTTTCAGCTTCATTACTCCAGCCTGCAGAGTCACATGATCCTTCAGAAATACCTCTAATAAAATAATTATAATTATTTTTATTATTATTGTTAATGTAATAGTGGTAAAAGCAATAATGACTGAAGTAATCATTTCTTTTTGAAACTGCACTAAAAAAATATATGATCAATTAATCCTGACAGCATATGTTTTAGGTCATTGTAACTTATTAAATTAAGTTAATGTTATAAGTTACGCAAGCAATTTTAAGTCAGTTTAACATAATGTTAGTTTAGTGGACTCGAAGGGTAATTTGATTCAGCTTAAAAATGTAAGGCAACCAGGATTTTTATACAGTGTACATAAAAATAAGAAAGCAGTTATTTAAAATTGTAATAAATATTAAACAATTTAACATTTTTTTATTAAATGCTGCCTTGATGACCAGAAGAATAAAAAAAAAAAAGACATGAAAAAAAATACAACTGACCCCAAACTTTTGAGCGGTTGTATACTATTTTATATTTGAAATACATATTTGAAATACATGTAGCATAAATGCTGCCCATCCCTTATTATTACATATGAGTTGATGACAAAGACTGAGGGGAATGATAGGAATGAGTTTAGATGCATATCTTTTTGTTCACTTACTTATTAATGCCTATAAAATCTTGAAACTTTTATTGTGTGACATTGATTGCAATATATATATTTTTATAAATCATGAAAATTCATAAAGTCTTACCCTCAGTGATGCCCTGGTTTTTCCAAAGACTATTTTAATGAGTGCCCTATAAAGAGTGGCTGACATTACATGAGAAACCATTTAGATGTAAATATGCACATTTGTTATTAAATTTTAACTAAACGCAGAAGTATTTCCTTATGTTATTAATTCTTTCTTTGTGCATTTCTGGTGAACTTGTTGCCCTTTGACGAATCTTCATACCTGACTGCTTTACCTCTGTAATTATATAAAGCTGTTTTGGCACAACCTTCATTGTATAAAGGATATCAAGTCATTTCTGCTTGTCAAATCCCAAGTGGTTTGTCGTGTTGCTTTTAAAATGTTCTTCATGTTTTCTACATTCTTTTTTCAAAGCCGACCTAAAATAATGATTATTACAGGATTATGATTTGAGCAGGGGCGTGTACACATTTTAATAAAACCGAAGTGTTTATACGACAAGCTACTGACTAGCAAAGGCAGATGGTAATCTAAGAGTTTGATATTTCCTAAAGCCTTTTTGGCTAAAAATAAATTGCTATTTTAAACATTTGTCTGCATTTTAAAGATTATTTGGCCTGGAAAACATCTGTTCAAAGGTCTGATAGATATCTTAAAAATGTCTCCTGAACAAATGACAAAATTACACAACAACAACATCAGAACTCATAAGATACAAATAAAATCATGCAAAATAAACTAAAAAACTATATAACTATATGTTAATTTAGGGTTTTTTCACCTTTAATTTGCATTAGATAGTGGAGATTACATACAGGAAATTACTGGGAGCAGAAAGAGGGGAAGGGTCGGCAAATGATTTTGACCAGGAATTGAACTTGGGTTGCTGTGAGTGACCACCACTCTTCTACTCCTTACAATTATAGACTTTTTTCTTGGCTGCTGCATGGAGGACGCCATAGTGACCAGTATCTTCTGATAGAATGTTTAGAACTTCTGTTTACAGCGTTTACAACTGGTAATTTGCGATCTGAAAATGGGTTTCAATAGTGTTTTGAGTGGATTACGGAGTGTTTTTGTGACACACAATTTTGAAAGGTTTGTGTTAAAGCTGTTATAATCTGTCAGATCTGTGGTTCAAGCGAGAGAGAAAAATGTTCTCCTATTGTGAGCCATGTTTCTTTTCGTTCTGCTTAATCACGTGCACCCAAAAATATTTAAAATAAACAAAACAATATGATGCCTTTTAACTGCTTTCTTTGATAACTGTATTATACAATACTTGTACTTTTACTTTCAGTATTTGAGTAGTAAATTTTGAAATAAACTACACTGAAAAAAATTATTCAAAGATGATTCCTTAAATTTACTTATTTTTTTGGTTAAGGGGTTGTAAACCATTTGTTAATGTTGAATTTAAACAAATAAATTAAGTTGAACATTACTAAATACAATTTGTTTGTTTAAATTCAAGACAAATAAATTGTTTGCAACAACTTTTTTTTTCAGTGTACTTGCAATAGTTAAGTACAAAAACTGTTGAATACTTTAATACTTTCACTTAAGTATGGTGCTTAAAGAGCACTTCAACTTCTACTCAAGTCCCTTTTTTGATAGAGCACTTGTACTTTTACTTAAGTCTGGGTCTCTAGTACTTTATACATCTTTGGTCTGCAGTAACAAAAACAGGAGACTCATTAGAAAAAAAAAGATGGCCATCCAAAAAGTAACTCAGTATTATACAAAGAGTGGCCAATACAAAATACATATATTCCTGATAAGTAAGTCCCATCTCACACTCAATACACTAAAGGTATATGTTTTAAATACAGCACTGCAACATACAAAAGAGAGAGATTAACTTAGAATGTCACTTACCTGTTTAATAATGATTTGATCAGCTGTAGTTTGAAAACACACTGAGTTTTTCTCCTCTAAGGGCTTATTATGCTGTCTCTGTCACCATCTTGTGAATAGACAATGTCAACCGTCTTTGCTCTACTCATTGATAAGCTGATGGTTGCAGTCGCTCTTTGACTAAAAAAATATAAATATTTAAAATAGACGCTATCCTTGTAAATAAACTGTATAGTTGCAATCTAAACAACTACATTCTCGCCTGAAAAAGCTTCAAAAGCACATTATGTTGTCCAACAACTGCAATATTAGTCAAACTGTAGTGAGTTTCTTGATCTGCTACCACTCTATGTAGGCAAAGTAATACAAAAGGGTGAGGAGGCTTTATGAGTTTTGATATTGCAGAATATTGTACGGCTATGTAAATGAATCAAGCCAATCAGATTCGAAAACCAGACAGAACTGTTGTGTGTATACAGTTGAAGTCAGAATTATTAGCCCCCCTGAATTATTAGAGCCCCTGTTTATTTTCCCAATTTCTGTTTAACGGAGAGATTTCTTCAACATTTCTAAACATAATAGTTTTAATTACTCATTTCAAATCACTGATTTATTTTAGCTTTGCCATGATGACAATAAATAATATTTTACTAGATATTTTTCATGACACGTCTATACAGCTTAAAGAGACATGTAAATGCTTAACTAGGTTAATTAGGTTAACTAGGCAGGTTAGGGTAATTAGGCAAGTTATTGTACAGCGATGGTTTGTTCTGTAGACTATCGAAAAAAAAAATCAGCTTAAAGGGGCTAAAAAATGTTGTCCTTAAAATGGTGATTAAAAAATAAAAAAATGCTTTTATTGTATCCGAAATAAAACAACTACTTTCTCCAGAAGAAAGAAAAAATATTATCAGACATACTGTGAAAATTTCCTTGCCCTGTTTAACATAATTTGGGAAATATAAAAAAAATCCAAAAAATTCAAAGGGGGGCTAATAATTCTGACTTTAACTGTGTAATATATATATATATATATATATATATATATATATATATATATATATATATATATATATATATATATATATATATATATATATATATATATATAATGTTATTAAATCAGTTTAGCAGGATATTATTTTTGGCATAATAAGTGATTTGGCTCTGTTTTCTCTTAGGTTATGTGGCACCCAGAAACCTTCCCAGCACCGGGTTCTTCCCTTTTCTGCAGACTTTGATGTGTAGCACGGACAGTTCATGTGCTACCTCATCCTACCTTACAGAAGGACAGTCCAGATCATACTTGTACAGAAACCATCGTCACCGCAGGGATGTTGAATCACACAGGTAATGCACCGTGTCTCACTTACTTCTGTGTAAATATTACACACTTCCAGAAACACCGTCTTCCCCCAACAGTAATTTCATGTAGTACAGTATTCTCAGAATACTCTGAGAACAGAAGTGTGAGGTCAGTTGTTGTTTTCATTTCTAACTCCGACATGTTGATGCGTCACTGATGACATGATGATGGCAAAATACTGTCTCCATTTACTTTAGTCAGTGTTCATAAAGTTAAAAATACCCAGCTTGATCTGCAAAAGACATTATATTGTGGAGGATTTTTTTACTAAACCAGATCCGCATCAATTTATACATAGTCCACAAGTCTGTGGCATTGATGAGTTTAGTCCAGATCATGTTCTTTAAATATAATGCTGTTTTAATCTACTGTTATTTTATTGTATTGTAAGTAATAGTTTGAAGCTTACTTGGCATGTGAAACACAAAAGTACTAAGTAAGTTCTTAAAGTTGTAAATATCCAAAAACTACTGGTTTTCAAACATTAAGGTTAGGATAGAGTCCCCTTGCTTTCAAAAATTAAATTAAATTAAATTAAATTAAATTAAATTAAATTAAATTAAATTAAATTAAAAATATTTTCATTTAATTAACATAATTAAAGAAAAAAGAAAAAATTATTAAATAAAAAAAAAAACTTAAGAATAAATTAAATTATAAAATAAAAAAATTTAATTAAATTAAAAATAAATTAAAATAATTATTAATAAAAAATAAATAAATAAATAAAATAAATAATAAAAAATAATTAAATTAAATAAATAATTCAAAATATTAAATAAAAAAATAATAAAATAAAAGTTATGAGCACCTGAAGACATTTCTGAAAGAATTTTAAAGCTCTTTTTGCTTTTTGAATATTTCACGAGGGATCTAGAAATGATCAATCTCAAAGGTAACCGGGAGGTGCGGCAGAAACTCCTATGATGGCATTCCTTCTGTACCACTTCATTGTGCCTTGTTTTCTTTGTGTGCACACAACAGCTCATACTGTGTAGGAGGTTTAAATTCACATGACTGCTTTTGTGAAATCTTTCACCCACTGCTTGTCATTAAATCATCTTTCATGTGTTTTCTTAATAATCAGTCTATCCTGTTTCTTTTATGTGTAAAGGTTTTGCAAAAACGTCAGCATTTACATAACCATGTCTGTCATGTGCACTACCATATTTTATATAACCATGTATATATGATTAAGTGCTTTTGGAATAATACGGTATCCACATAGAAGTCAATGGCAATATATACAAATGACATATGACAATAATGACTTATAAGGTATAATCTTTTTATATATCCTTAATCCTACCAAATACCTAAACCAAACTGCTACCTTACTAATTATTAATAAGGAGGCAAATGTCAATGGTTGGTAATAGTGTGAATTGTACATTAAAGTATGAGCAAAAAAAAATTGTTTGGAAATACACTCACTGACACTTTATTAGGTACACCTTACTAGTAGTTTGTTGGACCCCCTTTTGCCTTAATCCTTTGTGGCATAGATTCAACAAGGTACTGGAAAAAATCCTCAGAGATTTGGATCCATATTGATGGGTACACTGTGGTCATAAAGGGATAGACATGGTCAACAACAATACTCAAGTAGGCTGTGGCGTTGAAACGATGCTCAATTGGTACTAATGGGCCCAAAGTGTGCCAAGAAAATATCCCCCACACCATTACACCATTAATACAAGGCAGGATGGGCATACATGTTGTTGATGCCAAAATTTGACCCTACCTTCCGAATGTTGCAGCAGAAATCGAGACTCATCAGTCTACACTGTAATCCCGAATAAGTTGACAAAACTCAAAAAATTTGAGGTAATCAGTTACGTCAAATTTTTTAAGTTATGAAATTATCTATTTTAAGTAAACAGAAACATTAAGTTTTGAGTTTGTTGTACTCATGCAAGACACTTCACCTAACTTAAAATACCCAAGTTACTCAGCTTATACGTTTTAATTGCAATTAACTTAATTGTTTTAATTTTCCAAACTTTAAATACTTAGTCACCCAGCTCATACATTTTAATACCAATTAACTTAATTGTTTTAATTTTTCCAAATTTTAAATACTTAGTCACCCAGCTCATACATTTTAATACCAATTAACTTAATTGTTTTAATTTTTCCAAACTTTAAATACTTAGTCACCCAGCTCATACATTTTAATACCAATTAACTTAATTGCTTTAATTTCTTTCAACTTTAAATACTTAAATCACCCAGCTCATACATTTTAATAGCAATTAACTTATTTTTAATTATTTATCTCACCTTTACATACTTAGTCACCCAGCTCATTCATTTTGATAGCATTTTTTAAAATTAACTTCTCCATCGTCAGTTTCACAAATAAAATTAGCCATTATTTTAATCTTTAAACCCCATAAATCTGTCAAAATAAATCTGTAATTTAAAACACACAGACAATACAATTTTAGACATTTATTGTTAAAGAAAAAATGTCCAGCAGTACTTTCAAATTTGTCTCCTATGCAATTACAAATGTCTTAAAACAATAAAAACTATTAGACGTAAAGAGATTGAAAATGAACACTATTCTGAAATTAATAGAATTTACCCACAATGTAAATATGATATCAGACATAAGAGCCTCAAGAAAAAACAACTATAAGTTTGATAAAATTTAATAATACATTAATAAGTGTAAAACTTAGTCTTAAGGCATTCGTTAAAAAAAAATAAGTGCACATTCTGTGAAGTGACTCGTTTAGTGTAAACTACACAGAAACTGTAAATATATATATATATATATATATATATATATATATATATATCTCGTTGAAGTCAGAATTATTCGCCCCCATTTATTTTTTCCCCCAATTTCTGTTTAACGGAGAGCAGATATATATATATTGTAGCGAGGCAGAGGGAAAACAGCAACACAGTTGGATAAGTTTACAGACAAGTCCCCGGAGGGTGCTTTATTTACAACGTGAATGGGGTGTAAACGGTGCTCTTCTTTAAGGTGAGGTGCTCTGGTGCTCCGGGAAGTAAGTGAAGGACAGTGAGTAGTCGGATGTGGGATCGTCACGAGCTGGAGTCTGCTGTGGAGAGACAGAGAGACAAGCGTTAGCGCATGGAGTCATTGGGTGAATGAAGCTCATCTTCTCCTTGCGTGGGCTTGGTTTATATGCCTCTCCACTAGATGACGTCCAGCTGTGAACGATCCTGTGTTGATGATGGTCCAGCTGGGTTGAATTAGCGACCAGGGCGACTGATTCTGTCATTTACTTATTCCAAACCTGTTTGAGTTTCTTTCTTCTGTTGAACACTTAAAAGGTTATTTTTGACCAAAAAAAAAAAAAGCTGAGACCTGTAACCACCGATTTCCACAGTATTTGTTTTCCTATTAGAAAGTCAGTGGTTACAGGTTGTCAGCTTTACTTAACTTTTGTGTTCAACAAAAGCAAGAAATTCAAGCAGGTTTGGGACAAGTGAAGAGTTAGTAAATGACAGAATTTTACATTTGGACAAACTATCCCTATATATAATAAAATGCATACTTACCAATTAAAGGTAAATAAATGTTTTGAAGTTACTACCCCAGAGACAGTCTTTATTAAGTTAAAAAAAAAAATAAAAAGCTCTACATCAACTCATTCTTTAAGGTTTCCATGCTACGAGACTTTTTATTTTCCATCATCCATACCAAGCAAAACTTTTTGCACAAGTTCAAAGTCCTTTACTATATATTATGTGAAGAGCATACATTAATCCATACAAGACAAGAAAGGTCTGGAAGTGTGCTGTGGGTGGTGTCCAATTCATTCTTCAGGACAACAGAGACCCTCAGTGAATGCAGGGCCAATAAAGTATCTTCAGTCAGCAGGATTATCAATCTAAAAACATAATTCAAGGATATTAATGTAAGGACAGTATCAAAATGACTGAGCCAATATTATATGATTCATCAACTATTCTTGATTACAAATATGTTATTAAGTAAAAGTTTTCAAAACTTTCATCTTTTCATTAAACATGCCTAATTGTGAAAAGAATGAATGAAGTCTTACCAGGGTGTTCCTAAAGAATCTTAAGTCACGCTCACGCAGCAAGACCAAAAGACCTCTGATAACAGTAGTCCGTCATGAACTGACATCATTCAGTTCCTGGAAATCAAGAATCAATTTTTTAAAAATTAAAAAAATAATAATAATTCAAATTATATTTTAATGTATACTTTAACACGTGACCCCAAACATACCTGCTCATCATAAACCTTTAAAAGATTAGCCAGGGTATCTGCTGTCTTGCCAGTTTTGGATGCTGTTTGCCTTAAAATTGTCATCAAATTAAATAGGTGGTGGTCCAGTTTTGCAAAGAATTTGTGGGGAAAATTCTCATTTGTAACATGTTGGTACTCTGCAAACAGCAAAAAGAAACAAGAGAGGATTTCATAAAACAAACCCACACCACAAAATATACAATTCTAGAAAAAATGTATTAATATTATTATTATGTTTCATTTACTTATCTATTTTTTACCTCAGATGAAAATCAGGTGTTGATCAGATGTTGAAATCAGGATTTTCATGTTGTAAACTGAACTCAAGGTCTAGCTGAAGTTTCACTTTCCTTGCTGCAAAAGTATCATTGATAAATACACTGTAATATTTATTTTATCTGGATATGCCAGGCATAGTAGTACAAAATAAATATTTTACCCACCTTTCACATGCCTCCATTTAAGAACCTATCTGTAGTCAGCAACACCTGACCTTCAATTCTGTATGTACACAAAGTCACAGTGTCATTTAGCTGAGAGTGGAAGTAGTACAATTACATGATGTCTAACGTTAACCTCCAAAACGGTTAGCAATAGAGCTGATTATCATGTTAGTTGCTTTGATTTGATGAACACAGATTTAATTTAAACAGTATTGAAATTTCTAAAACTGAATAGGACGACAAAGAAATTTAAGGCCTGATTTTAAAAGCTAGAAATAACAAAACGTACCTTATTGTCTAATGATGTAAAAATATATAGACTAAAATATTTATATTTTTAAGATATAAATATATTTTAAGCTACAAAATTTGCACATCAGAAAACTGTCTTCTTTACCACGTCTTGAATATTTTGTTTTGTTATTATTTTATTTAATAACATAATTTTGTATTAATGTGTTATAGATATGCATACTTTGTTTTTTAGGCTGTTTATATTCTCTCCAGAGTAGACATTTTAAAAAATAGATTGAAAAAAAAAAACTTTTATCATACCTTTAAAATACATTTGACCTAAATGACATTTAAACTCACTTAACTGATCGCATTAATCAGGTAATCATTGATATGCAGAGATGTCGTCTTAAGCGCGAGGAAATATTAAGTGTTGATCAGTGCTGGTGATTGAGGTAAAGTTAGTTTTATATTTACACATTCAGACTTTCACCTTAATAATATAATTTCAGAAAGGTAATTTTTGCATATTCTTAATGGTGAAATCATATTAGCAGCCAATGACTTTCAAAGTACAACATTGTTCAGTCAAAAAAAATAGTGCATTTAGTGTAATGTTGTTTTCATGTCATACTTGCATGTGATTTCAGAACGAATAGACAAAGTACCATGGTAAACAATATATGGAGCGAGTCACAAGTTGTTACTAAATGAATGTATGAATATAAAACCAACTTTACCTCAATGTGGTAGTGTAAAATGAAGCTCTGCTCTGTACCTGCTCAGGTGAGGAGCGCAGCTTAAATGTTCTCCGTCAGGCTATGCTCATACATGGATCAGCAAGCAACAAGCTGCGTGTGACAGAGTTAAGTTTTGAGACTACGTTTTTGCGCGTCATCAGAAAATACCGTTAAGTGTTTAGTCGGAGATCATTTGAGTTATGATTAACGTTACGTTTCTTGCGCCTTTCGTTTCCGAAGTGCCTACAGATCGCGAAGATAATACCACATTCACAGACTGGATGGAGTTCAGCGCAGCGCCATGACATGCGGTTGTGAGAGCGCACGTCTCCATGACAACTTCAGCACAGGCTGAGAAAAGGCATACTCGCGCCAAGATTTAAATTTTTTTGAAAAATGTAATCTGCCGATTTTAAATATTTTTGTCTTTATCACACTCTGTTAAAATTCAGAGTTAACACATTACAACTAACGCTAACATTGCACTGATTCTAACTTTTTAAACAGTAATGTTAACGTTAGTTAGCAACAAGTGAGGCTAAATATGTTTTCTGTAATGTACGACATGTAAACGCACCCTGATTAACTCTACATTACATTGAACTGTTACTGTGATTATATTAATTAAAACATACATTTAATATTTCTTGGATTTGTAAATATTTTACTTACTGTAGTGTGAAGCGAGGCCGATCCGCCATCTTGAAAAAAACCAATGAAGCATGAGCACGTACGTGAACCTGGATGACGTCAGACGCAAAATCACTAGGCTGACAGAATTTGAGTTAATGAAACTTTAAAGAGACATTTTGTATAAATTAAACCCAGCAGAAGTGTTCACCTTACTTGAAAGATTAAATTTTTTCAAACTCAAAAATAAGAAAAAGTTCTAAATACTCATCAAGGTTAATTAAGATAAACGAATTTTAATGATTTAAGTTAATAGAACTCAACTCAATTAATTAGTTACAGCATTAGGGTTTACAGTGTAGGCAACATTTTTCCAATCTTCTATTGTGTAATTGTAGTGAGCCTGTGTGAATTGTAGCCTCAGTTTCCTGTTCTTAGTTGACAGGAGTGGCATCCGGTGTGCTTTTCAGCTGCTGTAGCCCATCTGCCTCAAGGTTCGACGTGTTGTGTGCTCAGAGATGCTCTTCTGCATACCTCGGTTGTAATGAGTGGATATTTGAGTTAGTGTTGCCTTTCTATCAGCTCGAACCAGTCTAACCATTCTTCTCTGACCTCTGACACCAACAAGGCATTTGTGCCTACAGAACTGTCGCTCACTGGATAATTTCTTTTTTTCGCACCATTCTCTGTAAACTTTAGAGAGGGTTGTGTGTGAAAATCCCAGTTGATCAGCAATTTCTGAAATACTCAAACCAACCCGTCTGGCACCAACAACCATGCCACCTTCATAGTCACTTAAATCACCTTTCTTCCCCATTCTGTTGCTCCGTTTGAACTGCAACAGATCGCCTTGACCATGTCTACATGCCTAAATGCATGTGATTGGCTGATTAGAAATTTGCGTAAAGAGCAGTTAGACAGGTGTACCTAATAAAGTGGCCAGTGAGTGCATATGCAAATTACAATTATGAGTTCATATGTGGGTTTCACATATATGAAATATATCATATATGCAATACATATTTTCAAATATTTCTATTGGAAATACAAATATGTAAATCATATATACAAATACATTACTTATATACTGTACATATATACAGTATGTTCATATATAGCCATATACAAAACAAATGCATATAATTATATTTAATGCATTTGAACAAATATACATATTTGGTTGACAAAAATGTCTGTAAGTCACCATTTTTGCAATATTTCAAAATATATTTTGTAAATCCAATAATGATTTTGGATATCATAAATACCATTTACATATATCTTTTTTCGCTTACACTTTATTTCAATGTACAATTCATGCAATTAGCAAACCCTTAACTAAGATTTTTAGCTCAGTAAACTACTAGTTATGCGCTTATTAACTAATAAAGCAGTAGTTGGGTATAGTTATTGGGTAGGAATGTACAATAAGAATATGCTTTATAAGTGCTAATAAACAGTTAATATCCTAATAATAGGCATGTAAATGCCAGTATAATGGTGTGAATTGTCACTTAAACTAATGTGTTACCCAGCTCTCTTTGTAAGTAACTAATTTGTCCTTTGATATAAAATATTTAGTTATTTAACATAGTGATGTTTCTGTTTTTATTTCAGTCTGCCAACACTGTTACATGGTTTGCCTCCTCTGGCTGATCTACCGAAAGGAGGACTGGTTCATGCAATCCTAAAAAGAGACACAAGTCATCCAGAACTCCAACAGCTATGGGACAGGATGCTTAGTACGTGCATAATGTGCTGCCCTTTAATACAATAAGATTCTATTTTTAATAACTGTTAATAAATCCCTGTTTTATTGTTTTAAAGATTCCAGCCTTCCTAATGCCACTTCAGTCTTGGCAGCTTTTAACAACACACTACTGGTTGATCAGGTTAGTGAGATGTTTTTATCACCTGAATCATGTTTTTAATGCTTTTGGTTGACTCCATAGTGAGTTATCTAACCACTTGAGCAATTTTGAAACCCAATCTTTTTGTATTTATTCCTCCAAACTGGTTTTCAGCATCAGGAGAACATTACACAATGTATTGCTGCGAACCTGTTATGATGAACCATGTATCATGTTACTGAAAAAAGAAAAGGAAAAAATAGGGTTATTGTCAATATAATTGCATAGAAAGTCAATATATTGTTATTGCAACAGACTTACATGTACAGTACCTATGACATGACCAGCTGCTTGCTTCACTGTATTTTATTTTAAATTCTTTCTTTCTTGTAGTCAATGGAGTCTGTTTGGGAGTCAGTGAACATCCTGAAAAAATCCCTATGCAGTTTCTCCATGACTGGCATGAATATATCAGCCAGTACCCTGGATCCATATACGCAAGGCCTAATAAACTTCTGTAGCTCCAACGACACGGTTCTAGAGTCATCTTTATTTACCATGAACCAGGTAAGGTCTGACTGCTGACCATGTTCATACAATTTCATTCCATTAACATTATAACAATTAATAATATTGTACCCCTTTAAGTAAAGTCATGATGTAATATTACATTTACAGGTCAAGTGTTTATGTTGGGCAAGTTGCTCTTTTAATGAATATTCTTTTTTACAGAAGAAGTTAGATTTAGCTTAAAGTGTTAATTAATACATTTATTTATACATTCATGAGTATTTAAAAATGAGTTAATTATAATGTGCCCCTTCAAGTAAAGTCATGATGTAATATTACATTTACAGGTCATGAATTTATGTTGGGCAATTTGCTCTTTTAATGAATATTGCTTCTTAAAGAATGAGTTAGATTTAGCTTAAAGTGTTAATTCATACATTTATTTATAAATTTATGAGTATTAGAGTTAATAATAACAACCCAAGCTCATTCTAAAAACGTAGTCTCGCGGACGTTTCTGGAGACAGTGGAATACGTCCCGGGAGGTACATACGGCTGCATTTATTTTTTTCAAGCGAACGCTACGGGGCGGTGTGATGCTGTTCCCTTTCGCGTTTGCCGGCCGGCCGGCCGGCCGACCGCTTACCTCCTTGTGTACCTCCAGCCGATTGGCCGGTCGCACAGTCAATCATTCAATTCAATTCAATTCAGCTTTATTTGTATAGCGCTTTTACAATATAGATTGTGTCAAAGCAGCTTCACATAAATGGTCATAGTAACTGGAACAGTGTGGTTCAGTAACTGGAACAGTGTGGTTCAGGTTTTAGTGTTTAAGTTCAGTTCAGTTTAGCTCAGTTCAGTGTGATTTAATCATTACTGAGAGTTCAAACACTGAAGAGCAAATTCATCGATGCGTAGCTCTACCAATCCTGAACCATGCGAGGCAGTGGCGACAGCGGAGAGGGAAAAAAAACTTCACCTGATGGGAGTAAAGAAAAAAAAAAAAAAAAAAAAAAAAAAAAAAAAAAAAAACCTTGAGAGAACCAGACTCAGTTGGGCACGACCATTTTAATTTCTCCGCTGGCCAAAAGTCTTGTGCAGAACTTCATTCGCCGTGGTTTATGCTGGAAGATGGCCTCAATGAAGACTCGTCTGTCCCAGGAGCGTCGCTGGAATCATCCGGTCAGTCGGACAGCAGCCTCTGGTGGGTTCACTCGAGAACAGCGCGGGCGCGAACTGCACTCGCGAGAGGCGTTTAAGATGAGAAAAAGCGCACAACAGTGGCCTCTAGCGGATTTGCAAAAACAAAAACTGCAGCCGTACCTACCTCCCAGGACGTATTCCGCGATCTCCAGAAACGTCCGTGGGACTACGATTCCAGAATGAGCCTGGGTTGAATAATAGTGTGCCCATTCAAGTAAAGTCATGACGTAATACTACATTTACTGGTTTATATTAGACAAGTTAAAGAATATTTTTTCTTATGGAGCAATTTGCATTTAGCTTAAACTAAAGTGTTAATTAATACATTCATTTATACGTTCATGAGTTGTTAAGAATGAGTTATTAATAATGTGTCCCTTCAAGTAAAGTCATGACGTAATGTAACATTAACAGGTCATGAGTTTATGTTGGGCAAGTTGCCCTTTTAATAAATATTCCTTCTTATAGAATAAGTTAGATTTAGCTTAAAATAAAGTGTTACTTAAAACAATAATTTATACATTCTTGAGTTGTTAAGAATGAGTTAATAATAACAATGTGTCCCTTCAAGTAAAGTCACGACTTATTATTGTATTTACAGGTCATGATTTTATATTGGTCAAGATACACTTTTAATGAATGTTCTTTCTTATTGAGCAGGTCACATTTAGCTTAACTAGTGTTAATTAATACAATCATTTATATGTTCAAAAGTTGTAAAGAATGAGTTAATAATAGTGTGCCCCTTTAAGTAAAGTCATGACGTAATGTTATATTTACAGGTCATGATTTTATGTTGGACAAGTTAATGAATATTTTTTCTTATTGAGCGAGATGCATTTAGCTAAAACTAAAGTTTTAATTAATACATTCATTTAGACGTTCTTGTTGTTAAGAATGTCATTAATAATGTGCTCCTACAAGTAAAGTCATGGTGCAATGTTACATTTACAGGTCACAAGTTTATGTTGGGCAAGTTGCTTTTTTAATGAATATTATTTCTTATAGAATGAGCTAGATTTAGCTTAAACTAAAGTGTTAATTCATGCATTCATTTATACATTCATAAGTTGTTAAGAATGTTAATAATAATGTGCCCCTCCAAGTAAAGTCATGACATAATATTATAATTGCAGAGCATGAGTTTATGTTGGGCAAGTTAATGAATATTTTTTCTTTTGAAGTAAGTTACATTTAGATAAAACCAAAGTGTTAATTAATACATCAATTTATACGTTTATGAGTTAATAAGAATGTTAATTATAATTTGTCCCTCCAAGTAAAGTCATGACGTAATGTAATACTTACAGGTCATGAGTTTATGTTGGACAAGATAATGAATATTTTTTTTCTTATTGAGCGAGTTACATTTAGCTAAAACTACAGTTTTAATTTATACATCTATTTAGACGTTCATGAGTTGTAAAGAATAAGTTAATAATATTGTCCCACTCCAATTATAGTCATGACATAATGTCACATTAACAGGTCATGAGTTTATGTTGGCTAAGTTGCTCTTTTAATGAATATTCCTTCTTATAGAAAGAGTTAGATTTATCTTAAACTAAAGTGTTAATTAATACATTTATTAACAAACATGAACTAACAAGTAATTAAAGTAGTCATAACTCATGTGTCTCATGTTGTAGATAACGTTAGTCAATAGTATCTGGATGCAGCCTTTATGATGCAAGCTGAAATTGCATCACTCAACGATGCAATCTCAGACACAATGCACTCAATGGAGCGAGTGACGTCACTGTGATGGGTAGGGTTAGGGGTGGGGTTAGGTGAGCCCATTAAAAAGCATTGGTTGCTGCTCAGATTGCACTGCACCAGGTCTGCATAAAGACCCCTCTCAGTTTGCTAGTAGTTTACATATTAGTACATCAGTATTCATGTACTTTTGTTGTAAAGTGTTACTCAATATATTGATTTACATTTAGCAAGTCACTTTTTTGTTTGTTAGAAAGACAGTATGCATTGGAGGGTCTTTGTCATGAATAATGAGCACCTTTTTCACCTTTACGGAGAAAGACTGACCTTTAATTGGGCATCTGTGTGTAACTGAGAGTAAACCAGGAGACGCAGAACATGAGAAACAAGCTCTAGAAAAGAATCCTGTAAACTATATAGGTCAAGGCTGCCAAAACTCGGTCCTGGAGGGCCGGTGTCCTGCAGATTTTAACTTCACCTTGCCTCAACACACCTGCACAAGTGCTTCTAGAAGCCTAGAAAGAGATTGATTAGATTGTCCAGGTGTGCCTAAATGGGGTTGTAATCAAACTTTGCAGGACACCGGACCGAGAGTTTGGGCACCCCTGATATAGGTGAATGACTACAGAAATTCTGGAGTTGGCTCTGCAGACTCAACTCAGCTTTGGTTCATGAGCGATACATTCTTGAAAAATGAAAACATGTCTGAGCAATTTATTGATCAAGAATATTTTATCTCATAAATTGCTTAGGTGAGATTTTGAATCCAGACAAAATGTTATTTTTTTCTCTCCTTAAATCCAGTCACATCTACATTATTTAGCATACAATATTGAAGGTCAGTACCGTCTGCTGCTGATTCTGTTTCTATACATTTAGCATGTTTGCTGACCACACATGTACCTGCATTCTTTCAGCTTTTAAAATAGTTTTAGCTTACAGTTACAACATACACCGTTACATAAATACACAGAGTCAGAATGTGATGGAAGAAAAGCTTTCACTTTTGAAGGAGTATAATTCAGTAATAAAGATCAATGACAATATTCTGAAAAAACCATGAAGACATGAATAAGGAGTTTTGTTTGGAGGAATGTGACTGGCCTACACAGAGTCCTGACCTCAACTTGACTGAACAACTTTTCTCATTTTTTATCCAACAACAGTACTTGATCTCACAAATGCACTTCTAGAAGATTGGTCTAAAATTCCCCTATTAACACATTCCTAAATCTTGTTGAAAGTCTTCCTAAATAAGTTATAGCTGTAAAAGTTGGTCCAACTTCATGTTAAAACCCTATGGATTAAACTTTTATTAAAGTTTGCAGGCATGTAAAAGTAGATTGCTCAAGACATTTAGAAATATAGTGTATCTTCTTTTGTGTTCAACAAGAAACTTCAGTAGGTTTGGAAACAGTATCTGGGCTGAATTTAAATTTTTGTATGAACTATCCCTTAAATGTCAATGAAAAAGTCATTAAATAGATTGATAGATATTAGGATTTTATGTTATCTTTTTATTTGTGTGGGTTGCCAGGTATTGACCCAATGGCTGCTCAGTAACACAACAGAGGTAGTGGAAGTTGTTGGTGGAACTGTCATGGTCATGGATAGACTTCAGCAGGAGTCTTCAGTTTGGGACTTCTTACTTGGCCTGCGGGATGTCTTCCTGAAGCCCACAGATGAAGAGGTGCTGCAAGCTGGAGTAGGAGAGCTGGAGAATCTTAAGACGTGAGTTAAGTGTTCCAATAAAATGAGTTTAGTAAAAGTGTATTATTTTAATCATTTAAAAAATCATCGACAATGCATTAAACTGTTTATAAGTGAGATTCATAATTGAATTTCAATTTCTAATATATTTTGCTCTGAAATTTCTGACCATTAAATATAAAATAAAAAAATACAAAAAACTGCAGCTGTTTTCAAAATTTAGAATAATCAGAAATATTTATTGAGCACCCAATCAGCATATTTGATTGATTTTAAATTGATTCAGAAGATTCAGCTGCATCATGGGATTAAAATATATTTTATCACACAGTATATAAAAAAATAAATTTGAAATTGTAATTAGATTCATTCATTTTCCTTCGGCTTAGTCCCTTATTTATCAGGGGTCACCACTGTGGAATGAACCGCCAGCTATTCTAGCATACACTTTCTGACAAAAGTCTTGTTGCCTATCCAAGTTTTAGGAACAACAAATAATAACTTGACTTCTAGTTGGTCATTTTGTATCAGAAGTGGCTTATATGAAAGGCAATGGTCTTTAGATTTTGCTTATTTACCAAAATAAAATATGATCAAGGCTTGATTTTCAATTGTTAAATTATGACAATAAAACTTTGCTTACACAAAAATCTTGTCACTTTAACAGAAATAATATACAGTATAGAATATAAAGTTATGGTGCAGTTGAAAAGGAATTAATATCGTGCATGACTCCCTACACGATAACGACTGCATCCATACATCTCTGCAATGACTCAAATAACTTATTAATAAAGTCATCTAGAATGGCAAAGAAAGCGTTCTTGCAGGACTCCCAGAGTTCATTGAGATTCTTTGGATTCATCTTCAATGCCTCCTTCATCTTACCCCAGACATGCTCAATAATGTTCATTTCTGGTAAATGGGCTGGCCAATCCTAGAGCACCTTGACCTTCTCTGCTTTCAGGAACTTTGATGTGGAGGCTGAAGTATTTTGCCCTCTCTTACGGAATTTGCCTTCTCCTGTGGTTTGTAATGTTATGGCCCGCACAAATGTCTTGATACCTCAGGCTGTTGATGTTGCCATCCACTCTGCAGATTTCTCGCGGTCCCTCATACTGAATGTAACCCCAAATCAATGATTTTTCACAAAGATGCAGCTTTGATGAAAACACTTTTTAAAATCGGAATAATTGTTATATTGTATCTGGTCTGTAATCCCTACAGTGAAAAAATCACTGAATGAAGTAAATTAGTTTAACTTATAATTAAAAAAAGTTACTTTGACTTGGTGAAAAAGAGTTATAGTAACTCACAAACTGATTATATTAAGCAGAGCTCAAAACAAATGAACTATGAATAAATTGATTAATTCTATTTTTTGTGTATTAACGCTAATGCTATAGGAAATACCAACTGATTAAGTAGCTAAATCTGAACTCATACCGATTTGATAACTGAACTTAAAATATTTAAATGTCTAATTGTTTGATGATATCAACACAAATAATATATGTATATACATTTACTGTATATATTGAGTCACATAAATATACATACATTTACAACACTCACACATACTTATACCATTTGATTTCAAAACTTTGAATGGTTTGCCGCAATCCGTTTCCTCAAACAGGATGGCACGGTGGCTCAGTGATTAGCACTGTTACCTCAAATCTAAAAAGTCACTACTTCGTGTCCCGACTCGATCAGTTGGCGTTTCTGTGTGGAGTTTGCATGTTCGCATGGGTTTCCTCCAGGTGCTCCGGTTTCCCCCACTGGCCAAAGACATGCGCTACAGGTGAACTGGATGGACTAAATTGGCTGTAGTTTATGAGTGTGTATGGGTGTTTCCCACTACTTGGTTGCAGTTGGAAGGGCATCCGCTGTGTAAAACATATAAGTTGTCGGTTCAATCCGCTGTGGCGACCCCTAATGAATAAAGGGACTAAGCCAAAGGACAATTAATGAATGAATCAAGTTTTACAATGTGGAAATGTGGAAATTAAGATCCACTGTCAATGACAATACTTAACAATTGGTGAAAAAACCCTTCAGCTCCAAAATATACTGGATATCTTTCATTTCAGTACACTGTTGATGACAAGCAAAAGAACATTTCTGGGAATCACACATTAACATTGGCATCTCAGTGTCTTATTTAGGCCTCAAAATTCCCTCTATTCTGTATTTAACTTCATTTGAAATGACTCTGTATGTGCACGGCATTGCCATTTCGCCAGTGAATGTGATTTGCATGCTTACCATGTTTAGTGGTTTCAAAGAATCTCAGACTCTCTCATTTGCCTATAGTGCCTTGACCTTCCTCCAAGCGAGTTTTCCTCAGGCCAACATCTCAACTTCTCTACCACAACCTGTCATCAACAACGCCATAGACATTCTCACATACTTGGCTGCTTGGAAAGGCAGAGGTATGTTGAATTTGAACTATTAAACATGTTTTGTGAGCTGCATGGCAATAATAAGTGATAACATTTCTTAATAACCTATTTGGCAGCACAAGAGAGCGCTTATTAAATGAAGATGAAAGTAGTTTTGAAAAACTCACTGCGCATGTGTTTGAACCCACAGGCACTCACAAGGTTTTTTGATGATTGGTTGGCATGCTGGCATGAAATGTTCAGTATGTAGGGAAAAAGTTCATGTCTTTATTAAAGAAGTCATGGCTCTAGAAAGTTCTAGTCAGCGCAAACTGTGCTTTGATGACCCTCATATTGTTCCCAACCTGTATTTATTCTTTGTTGTCTACACCAATATGTATAAATCAAACAGTGACCATTCAAAGTTTCAAAGAGGACAAAAAAGTCACCCTTAAAGTAAACCATAAAACACACACGTTTCTGAGAAAGACTTCTGTTTAAATATTTTTAAACAAAATTAGTGAATATCATAGATTTTTTTACAGTGATTTACACAAGGCAACCTAATCAACGTCTATTAATGTAATAATAGGCTAGTTTATGTACCCAAAATATCCAGAGCATCACAGAAAATGATTTGTCATTTGAAATTATTATTTGACATTATGCTTAAAACCACTATGTACAGTGTGTTTTACCCATTTTTCAACATTAAGAACTTTTATTTTAACAATCTATATGCAAAGTCTAAAGCGCATGGTGCAAAAGGCACACTGTAAAAAGCAATTGCTTAAAAAAGTGAGCAAACCCATTGCCTTAAAAGTGGCAGGCTGATTTTACTTACAAAATGTCAAAAATTTCTGTTACAACTTAGAACTATTTAGTTCACTTCATTTAAAAAAATATATATATAATTATGCACACAGTTAACTTAATCATTTTCAGAGAATGCTCACTTAATTAAAAAAAAAAAAAGTAAAGACAGCTATCGCATTTTACAGTGTATTAAGGGTGCGTCTGAATCCACTTTTGCTGTTTTAAGGCCGGACAAATCATCTCTGCGCCCTAGTGTATGGTCTAACAGGGTTGTGCTTATTCTCTTAATGAGTTATGGGTGTGTTTTGAGCATAACATGATATGATATGATATGATAACTATATATTATGCCACCATACTTCACACTAGTCAAAAGTGCAGTCATCTTTTTATCTCGTTTTATATAGATACATATGTCAAACTGACTGATGTAATGAGCCCAAGCAGCATTGTTCTTCTCAGCTCAGACATGAAGGACCTTATCAGCCAAATCCAGATTCCTCTCGACAAGGTAAGCTTCCCATGGCTGCTCAGTCTGTTTTTTTTTTTTTACTCAACAATGTTCTCAGAGACTTTCAGAAAATAAATTCCCATAACACAAACACATTTTTACTCTCTTAGTGTATGCATGCAACAAAAGAGATTAGATACTGAGCTTTAAAGTTCCAATTGGCTAAAATGATATGGGAATCAAGTTTTCTTCTGTAAATAAGAAGATCCAAAATGCACACAAATAAAATGCATCACAAAATGTTACTAAGTAGCCAAAATATGTTTATAATTCTATTTAACGTCATGAATTTGAATGCATTTTGTTTAAAATTGTTTAAAATTAAAATTACCATCTTATAGTAAATGATTTACTGTATGTGTTTAATATTGACATAGACAACCACTGGAGTACAATTTGAAACATTTTGAAATATAATTATTCATTTGTCTTAATTGTTTATATAATAAAACCACCCAAAAGTAATTATTTATATGATAATTCTCAAAGTAGATTTTAAATAAATTATATAAATTGTAAGTTTGCATAAATCTATGGAATTAAAGCTCACAATTGTGCAAAAAAAAAATACTGTTGCAAAGATATATTTACTTTATTTCTAACAGATATTTTCTTAAATCTTTACTTTACTGAAATATGGGTGTAGCATGCAGGCTCTATGGTAAAATCAGATGCTCAAGGCATAAACTTTAAAATAATGACTTCTACTGAAAATGTTGACAGAGGTTTATGATATAAGAATTATAACGGAGCCTTAATTAAATGCATATTTTCGATGGAGAGATTTGAGGTAGTCATATAATTTTTATTTGAGATGATTAGTAAAAGCAGCCTATGCCGGTTTAAAAGGATTCAGTCAGTGTTTTCGTTTTGTAGTCTACATCTGTAATTTAAGTGAAAAATATCTAGAGCGGGCCTCTTTATTTTATTCTTTTTATGTAGTTTATTCTGTTTTTTCATGCTGTTGGAAACACTGAAGGTGCGTGTATATGCTGTTGTTCGCATGTTAAAATAAATCAGTATTTTTATAAGGCTGCCTTGTAGGCTGGACAAACGAAAACAACTTATTGCATTTTCGCTCCATTTTTGAATATCTGTAGTCAATGCACAAATGCACTATTAATGCTCACATTGGCTGTGTTTTGGGGAGAACCCAGTTATTTTACTCTGTTTGAAGATTAAGGTTTATATAAATAACTAATTACTCATTCACACCCACTCATACCTTTTAATCGACCTTCTCAGATTGCTGTGCTGTTCGCTGAAGAAGCCTTTCGCACTTTTTTGTGTGACCAAAACATCACTGCCTCCTATTGTTTGAGTTGGGATGTGAGCCAGGTGTTTCAAGGGATAGATACGTGGAAGGTTGCTGAACAGGTAAGGATCTCAGATATGCCAGTATTTTCCATTACTGGGTTATTTTTAGGAATGATTCATTTTATACTTCCTTCTAGGAGTTTAATAAGTGTTTGAGAATCAGAGAGCGAGAAAGTCTCAGTTGCAGTTCCTTGTTGGTACCTGCTCTCTTGTGGGAAAACACACAAACATCAGCTGAGCGTGTTACCTAGAAAACCAGCTTAGTCTGAACAGAAAACAACACTCTAGCCACTCTGAGACTGGATGCATAAATAGTATGTATGAGCTGCAGTCCTCCAGGGACCCCAATTAGACGTTCACCTCACCACAGAGGGAACTCCACGAGCCATATCCAATCACAATGAATGTGCATTCAAAACTCACACGGCGTGTACATATGAGAAAATGCATTTTAAGCCTGTAATTAGTAGAAGCCACAGTTAATTATGTTAATGTGATATACAGTGCTCAACATATTGTAAATGAGTATACCTCATTTTAAAAAAGAATATGTTTATCCATTTCTCAGTGAATATATGTAATATATTTTGATGAATTTGAACAAAACAGATTTATTTAACATATATATTAATTCAAATAATAATTAAAAAAAACAACTACAAACATTTTATTAATGAAAAAAAAATTAACACACACACACACACACACACACACACACACACACACACACACACACACACACACACACACACACACACACACACACACACACACACACACACACACACACACACACACACACACACACATACATACAGATGCTAGATGCTAGATGCAGATGCTAGATTAGCTCAAGATTTGGCTTCATTACTGACTAATCCAGGGGTGCCTAAACTTTTTCTAATGAGTGGCTTAAAACCAAACTTTATTGAGGGCTGTGGGCTGAAGATAACAATACAAACTGTATTTATTTCCTACAATTTAAATACACTTATTGCTTTAAATTATATTAATAATTGCATTTTATTTTTTAAAATTATAACTAACTTATTACAGTAAAACATAAACATTTCCATTAACAACACAATAGAGTTCAATGCTCATCAATTTCTTTTCCTGTTATCCCTCGAGTGACTACTTACATTAAAAAAAAAAAATTTGATTCCTTTACAAAACAAAACAAATTACAAAACAAACAAACAAAATGTTACTTTAAATTTTTAATTTTGATCTCTGTCAAAGACAATCACCCATTATACTTCTCTTCTCAAATGGGATGGTAAGCCAAATCAAAGATTAGCAAGGGCCAACTTTGGCCCACGGGCCTTAGTTTGGGCATCTCTGGACTAATCTTATGTATATGCACTGATATAATATTGTAAAGCTTCCTATAGAAATTATTAATTTAAATGAAAGATTTTTGAGGGTTGTAGTCATATATGTTGAGCTCTGTATGTAAACTGTTAACAATTTGCTTCCGAAGAAGTTCTAGTTAAACACCTTAAGTTGAACCCACTTGCCTTTTTGTCTTTATAACATTTTAAACACACTGTATGTATGTTATAAAAAGCCTCTAATATGCTTTTTTGCTTGTGAATTAATTTGCAAAGCTTTACCCCTTTATTAGACATAAAACCATATTTTCCAACTTCAAGAAAAAAATTGGTCCCACTTTATATTAAGTGTCCCTAACTACTATGTACTTACATCAAAAAATAAATACAATGTACTTAGTGTGTTTATAATGTATTTGAGAACACTTGTGGTGCTTTTGAGTTGGGATAGAGGTTGGGTTATGGACAGGTCTGGTGGCATGGGTAGATTTAAGGGTAGGTTAAGGTGTAAGGGATGGTCAACAGTGTATTTACAAATGTAATTACAAAAGTTAATTACAGATGTAACTACATACATGTATTTAATGAATTTAAATTCAAGCTTAGGTACACAGTAAATACATGTATTTACACAATAAGTACATTGTAACAAACTATTAACTACTGTGTAAGTACATATTAGTTAAGGCCACTTAATATAAAGTGGGACCAAAAAATTTAATCATAGAAAAAACTGTAAAAAATATTCCTTAATCTGTTAAACATCCCTTGCGAAATATTTGAAAAATAATAAATATTGCACAGAAGGGTAAATAATGTTGCTCTCACTTGTATATGTATCTATACCACAAAACTTTGCGTCACATGAAAGCTGAATAAATGAGCTTTCCATTGATGCATGGTTTTGGACTATATTTGGCCAAGACTTAACTATTGAAAATGTGGATTCTTAAGGTTTAAAATAATCTAAATATTAAGGAAATCGCTTTTAAAGATGTACAAATTAAGTTCTAAGTAATTCATATTACTAACCAAAAATGTATTTGTTAAAAAAAAAATTTCAAATAGTGTTTATATGAGTGTATATAGTGTATATATACAGGGCCCTGTAAAGGGTTAAAGTGCATTAAAAAAGAACTGCCTTCTGTCAGAAACGCTAATCAGACAAATTGGTTTAAACTCTTTGAGAAGTGAGGTGATTTAAAATGTATAGTATGAGAAAATGAAAATGTTTTTGTGGAAGATCTCCAAAACAAAATGAGGAACATTTAAAATAGCATAATAGGAGCACTTTAACATTGTGAATGACAGTTTGGGTAACATATTCATGTTTCATGTCTGCATGTGCTCCCCTCAGGTACTGGTCGTCTGGAGTCAGAGCTCTGCCACAGCAGATCTGGGCTTCTCTAAGCAGGTCTTCAGCAGTCTGCTGGGTCTAATATATCCATCAAGCTTGGATTCTTTTCTCAAGCACAGCAGATCCCAGCGCAGCAGTGATGCTCAGCCACAGAGCCTAGTAGAACAATTGTATGTCAACCTAGACTACTTTGTATCTGTTAGGCTAGATCAGGGATGGGCAAACTGGATCCTGGAGGGCCGGTGTCCTGTATAGTTTTGCTCCAACCCTAATCAAACACACCTGCCTGCAGCTTTCTAGTAATCTTGAAGACACTAGCTGCGTCCCAAATCGCATACTTATGCACTATTCTACGCCATTTTGTAGTATTAATAGTGTAAGTAGTTTGTTCACACTGAAAACTCAAAAAATAATTAGTGCACTTTAATTACCCGGATGATGCACTCATTCAGCCGCTAAAATGAAGTGTGTAATGATGGACACTTCACGCACTCAACGACCGCATGTTTGCTTACGTAGCGGAAGGGGCGGAGCTATCGGAAGCACATGTTGAATAACTTTATTTATTTTGGATGGTGAAAGCAAAATTCTCCTAAGAGAGTGATTATAGGGCCTCCCGATGGTGAATGCGGCAATACTCACGGCAGGTATTATTTGATAATTCGGTTGTTTATTTCACTGATTTGGCAACTGTCAAACGTCATCAGGGAAACGGTTTGAATTTCCGCTTAGTAAAAAAAACATTAGTGTGCCATTTGGGACACCACTACATACATATACTATCCTGTTGAGTGTGGAAGTGCATAAGTACATAGTGCATGAGTGCATAGTGTATAGTGTGCCATTTGGGACGCAGCTACTGATTAGTGTTTTCAGGTGCTTTATTAGTGTTGGAGCAAAAGTCTGCAGGGACACCGGCCCTCTAGAATCAAGTTTGCCCATGCCTGGGCTAGATACAGGACTAAAACGGATTACAATGTTAACATGTATTTATTTACACAAAAAAACAAATACATATACAGAAAAGCAATTATTTTTAATCATCATTCTAAGCCCCATGGTGAAAATGTCTGCTTTTAAGGGGCATGGGCTTTAAAGTCTGTGTGAAATCAAAATTTGCTAGCACACATTTCTATTGCTTTAGTGAACAGTTAATCCGTTGAACTTAATCCACTGAAATATTTTTTTAGGTAAACTTCCATCAAACTCTGATCATTTGCTTCTGCATTTGAAGCTGCGGTCCTTCTCTGTTGACAACAAATATTTTTGCCGGCTTCAGCCACAATGTTATTAACCACGCCACTCTTACTGTTAGTTTGTTATGAGGTCATAATGAATCTGAACTCAATATTCAGTATCAATTGGAAGTACATCAACACACTGAAATAAAAGTCGAACCAACTTCCCGTTCATGTAGAATGTAAAGCTAGTTAGAAAATGGCTAATGTTTTCATTGGCTCACATTATTGCATAGGAAACAGCATCAACCCATTTTACTATTGTATGAGAAAGGGAGTAAGTGTTTAACAACATTATAAAACCATAATTCACAGACAAATCAAAATACAAATTAATAATATTACATATTGGTCTGTCAGATTCAGATTTCAGTCAAACTCTTGTTGCCATCTCTCCATTGTAGTGTTTTTAACATGTACATACTGTAGACAGCAGCACTAATAATAATTGATTATATTCACTTTGATACATAACAATGATTAAATCTAGTGTAGGCTGGATATAGATGAAGCAATACAATGAGAAAATAATCTGTGAGGAGTTTTTTTCCAGGAACAAATAACCTGTACTTACTAGATTGGTAATAGTTATTGAGGAAGTGTCTTAAAACTTGGCTGAAATGGCATCTGCCAAATCTGGTTTGATCGAGAGGCACATGACTTTGTGCTTGAGTTTGATTTCCACCAGCCACTTCCTCATGGTTTATCTTACATGTGAACGAAGAAAGGAAACCTATTTTAAAGGTTATTGAAACTAATTCTCAACCTCTTTATGATTTCACAGAATCTTTGGATTGGGCAGCACAGCACTTGATTTTCTACAAGGCATCCCAGGCTGGGAGTACATTCAGACATTCATGATGGGGGGCTTTTCATCTATGCAGGTGGCAAGAGTTGCAATGGAAGCGCAGCTACGTATGTATCAGCATGTGCAGATAATTATGTTATGCCAAACAGCTTCCAATTCAATTTAATTCATCTTAAATCTGTTTCACAGCTATCATTGATGTGGTTCTGAAGGATGCCAAGTATGTCCAGGAGGTCTTCCTTTTTCTAATGCGGAATGAGACATTTGCTAATGCCTGGACTGAGTATGCTATGGACTCTGTTGTGCAAACCGTGTCCATGGTAGGTGCAAAAAAAAAGTGTAGTCTTCATGTACACTACCTGACAAAAGTCCTGTTGCCTATCCAAGTTTTAGGAACAACAAATAATAACTTGACTTGTCATTTGGTATCAGAAGTGGCTTATATGAAAGACAAAGGCCTCTAGATTACACTTATTTCACCCAAATAAAATATGATTATGCCTTGATTTTTAGATATTTAATTAGGAAACAAAAGTCTTGTCACTTAACAAAAATATTATGGTGCAGTGGAAAAAGAATTAATATTATGTATGACTCCCATGAGCTTGGAGGACTGCATCCATACATCTCTGCGATGACTCAAATAACTTATTAATAAAGTCATCTGGAGTGGCAAAGAAAGCATTGCAGGAGTTCATCAAGATTTTCTGGATTCATCTTAAATACCTCGTCCATCTTACCCCAGACGTGCTCAATAATGTTCATGTCTGGTGACTGGGATGGCCAATCCTGGAGCACCTTGACCTTTTTTGCTTTTAGGAACTTTGTTGTGGAGGCTGACATATGAGAAGGAGTGTAATGTAATGGGCAGCACAAATGTCTTGATACCTCAGGCTGTTGATGTTGCCATCCAGTCTGTAGATCTCTTGCACGCCCCCATACTGAATGAAACCCCAAACCATGATTTTTCTTTCACCAAACTTGACTGATTTCTGTGAGAATCTTGGGTCCATGTGGGTTCTATTAAATCTTCTGCAGTATTTGTGATGATTGGGATGCAGTTCAACAGATGATTCATCTGTAAAATCTACCTTCTGCCACTTTTCCAAATGATCAACTAGAAGTCAAGTTACTATTGTTTGCTGTTAGAACTGGGATCGACGACAAGGTATTTGTCAGGTAGTATAGTTTGCATTAAAGTCTTCATTGGATGACACTCTACTGTTTAATGCAGATTCTACAGGGAAACACGAGCTGCGCAGACCTTTCTGCTCCTTGGGCTTGGATGTCAAAGTACAGCTCTATAGACATTCAGTTGTGGAGTACTCTGCTTTGTTCTGGGAGTGATACAAAACTTGAGCAAATCTTGCTAACAGCACTTTTGCCTGTAATTCAAAAGGTAAAGGCACGCGGTTAGCTGTGCACAACAATTAATGTGTGACAAAAATGGTGGTATTAATAAATTAATTATTATTATTTATGTCTAAACGTGTTTTCACAGGGCCAACAGTTGGTCGATGTTCTGAATGGAACTGTTATGTACAACGTGACACCCTCCACACTTATGGCAGAGTGGCACAGTCTTTACACAACCTACATTCAGTATGCCAATTCCGCCCAGAAACTGCAGACTGACCTTAATGAGGAGTATTTTGCCGCTTGGATCCCAGGGAACATTTCAGCTAGTTTGTTCCAAATTCTGTCGACCAGGTCAGAAACCTACCTATTGTTCAATAACTGCTCAATAACCAGGGGGTTGCATGTTAAGAATTACATCAAGCAATGAATCACACTATTGAGGTTCCTGTAGAACAGTATTTCTCAACTGGTTTGGCCATTGAAACCAAATGTTCTCTCACACACATATACTGTATAAACAGAAGCACCACTCCACTCTACTTAACACACACGATGAGTAAGCATTAAATAAATGAGTTTTTGTTGATACAATAGTTTTCTAAAAGCATTATGAGCCACCACAGTTATTCAAAAGAAATTCCATGCTGGTCATTTCTCTCCTCCCTTCTTTTTAATGAGGTGACGTACAGTTTGTGCAATTGGATTTATGTGTGCAATTGGAAAGGGTGCTCTGAGCACAAAATGCTGACAAGTCAAAAAAGGTTACATTCTATGGGCTCTATTTTGACAGTCCATCCGCAGAGCGCAAAACACAGGGCGCAAACGCTTTCAGGGCATGTCAGAAGGTATTTTTGCTAATTTACGGACGGAAAAATGCGCTTTGCGCCAAGGCGCATGGGCTTAAAGGGTTGAGTTTATTTTCTTAATGAGTTATAGGTGTGTTTTGAGAATAAACCAATTAGAGACTCATCTCCCATTCCCTTTAAGACCCAGCTTTGTTGCGCCAAGAGCGCATTCGCTATTTACAGGACGCAAAGTACAGTAAGTCTAAGTGGAAAAAATGAGCATTTCACAAGCAAACAGTTAACAGTTAACAGTATTTTAACAGAAAACTGTTAAACAGAGCATCTACTGCGTGAGAATGAGAGATAATGGAACTACTTTCACTTTTGCTCTTGGAAAGGGAAACCTTTACGCACAGACATCAATTAGCCTATAAATAATTAATTTCGTTTGTTAAGCGCAAAGATTTGTTTCAAAACTATTTCTAAATTCAGTTCTAATTTCTAGCAAACGAATAAATGAACAATAATGACCAAGTGTGGTCAAAATACTGAGTTGTTTCCAAATACACCTGCCATGCCCCATATGGTCTAAAACCTGACAGGTGGGCAAATCTAAGCTTGTTTTTAATAAAACAAATATAAATATGGATATATTAAATAATACTGCTAATAATAATAACATTATACAAAAGCAAATTGTTATGAATGAACTGAAAAAGCCTCCCGAGATGAAGAAGACATAAAAGCAGTGGTTTTTCATATTTATGTAGGCTAGAAAATAGTATGTTTTGTTATATTTTAATCCTTTATATTTATATCTTATATCTATTCTTATTATATCCTATACATATCCTTAATATTAAAATTTTTTCATATGTAAAAATATTTGCCTATTGCTCTCTTGTGCGTATTAAGCAGTGCGTAAGCGAGGCGCAACTCTGCGCCGGAGTTTAGACTGGGTTAGTTTTGGTCTAATGAAAAATCTATTATAGTTTCTCAAAATAGCAACGCGCCAGCGGTCCGCCTCAGAACGCCTTCCGTTTTAGACCAGAACGCCTATGGGCGCACAAATGAGCGCTAATGCATTTGCTATTTAAACAGCGTAGCACAACGCCTCAAAACGACTCTTGCGCCAAGCTGAAACTACCAAAAGACTATTGTGCCACGCCTTGCGCCGCGTCTTGCGCCACACTGCGCCGGGTGTATGATAGGGCCCTATATGTGAAAGGGGCAGGATTTTAGATGTACCTGCATTACTAGTGGGCCCCTGTTATTTCTTGATTTGTCCATTATTGTCAGATTCTCCTATATCCTGTAGGGATATTTTACAGTTTGAACCCAAAGAATGACCAGTCTGTGAGATGAGGAAGAGCCGTAGTCAGAGATTCAAATAAATAAAGTTTACTGAAGATAGTTTGAAGTTTGATCAGCAGAAGCTAGCTTTAACACTCTTAATGAGTTTCTAGGCCGCTCTGCTTACAATCACAAATCAGCAACAATTATACTCTCACATAACGTCATTAACTGCGTCATACATGTAGGTGTTTTAACCTGACTGGTTAAAGCACAAATAGACTTAGAACATTTCCACGTGGGTGCTTGCGTACAACTTTGAATGATATCTCAATATCTTAAGCATACAAATGTCAGACATCCATAGGCTGTGTACTCTCAGCCATGTTTATCAAAACTGGTTTAAAACCTGTATAATATACATTCAGGCTGCTATATTCTCACTACACAAAGTCTATCTTGTATAAAAAGGAAAACACTTTAGAAAGTATTAACACCTAACGATACAAATAGGACAACAGTTGTTTTCAGTCATAAAGTCCTTGAGTTCCACTAAAGAGGTCTCCATGACCTCTGACCTGGTTTTCGTGGCTTCTAAAAATAAAGTAAAAATAGACCGACAAAGAGAGGAACAGGGACACAGAACATTCTTACATCAAGCAATATGTTAACTTTATTCATTAGTCCAAGTCATTTCAAAAGTAAATACTGATTCAAATAATTACATTAATAAAATACTGAGAAAAAAGGAGAATTAGAAAAAGAATAATTGTTTAGCCTTGCTGAGACGGATTGAAAGACAGAAATCCGACCTGATCACTCCCATTCAAAAAGTCTTAATCATGAAATATGCTATTAATCAGATTGTGCTACCATCGTAAATTTTAATGTTAGGTGGTGGTTTTAAGGCTGTATAATCACCCTATCCTACCCTAATCAATAATACTAACATTAGAACCATACAGTGTTAGGGGTATAATTTGGCAGGTAAAGTATCACCATTTCTAAATCTTTCCCACTGATAGTGAAACAGACCCTACTGAATGTGTTTTGATTGGTCTTTAGCAGAACTTGTTTTTCTCATTCATATGAAATACATCTGACAATAAGTGTTAACAATTTTCATGTACATCTTTCAATGTCCCCATGTTGTTGTGACCCAATTTTGGATGGCAACCCACCAGTTGAGAAACACTGCTGTAGAATACTTTAGAGCTCTGCCTAGCTTAGCTCTATTGTTATTTAGTAAATTGATTTTAAAGTTGTGATTTTTAATTTCTTGTGAAACAGAGGTACTGTGGAGTTTGAGAATTTGGGTTCTCTGCTTGAGGAGAGTTATCTGTGGCCCTCCATTGAACCATATTTTCATGTGGCTTATTGGATTTTGACATACCAGCCTAACGCCACTGCATCATCAAACTGTGAGTGTGAAAAATGTTTGTCTTTATTAAATCAGCAGGCTTAATACATTCTAGCTATGTTGTGAGTTCACAATGTCCTTATTCATTTTAAAACATTATATTATTTTTGTAGGCACCCTTACTTCATCTAACCTGACATGTCAGACCGGATTTAACTGGAAAGAAATAGCTCCACTGATTCAGTCTTTGATATCTGAAGTGTCAAGAGAACCTGACAGCCTTCTAAGGTAGTGATTATACATTTATTAATTCCATTTTTTTACATTTCTAATTCAAGATTTAAATCTAGAATATTTTGTCACACACTAAATATATTAATGCATTTTTTTATAATGATTTTAGACCTCTTCAGGGAACTGTGGATTTCCTCCAAAACAGTTACATGGCACTTCTGCAGCAAGTCATTGCTAATGGCTTACCTGACCAGCAGTATGGTACTGACCTTCCAATACAAGACATGCTGCTGAATCTCATTAATACAGTTGAAAAAGATATTCAATTCCTCACCACCATTGAGTCTGCACAGCAGTTTGACACTCAGCTCTCACTTACTCTGTTAAATGACATCATGGCGGCTCTTGGACTGGGAAGCATAGATAACTTGTCGGGAGGTTTCCAAAATATCACCACACCCCCTTTAATCATGAATGTCCTTGAGCTCTTGCAAAATAAGTCCGTCCAGATGCTCAATGGTGAGCAGAGTTTTGCAGTTCTTCAAACAGTTTTGAGCCAACTTGGAGCCATCTTGCCTATAGAGCAGCAGCAGCAGTTAGAATCAGGGCTAAATAAAACATATACCCTCATTGGAGATTTGGAGATCTGTTCCACTCTTGGTCAGGACTGTGTTGCTAATGTGCAGAATGTATTTGATTTACTTGGTGCAATGCTTGCATTTGAAAATAATATCACCATCCCGGTCACACCTCTTGAGGGTAACATGACCCTCCCTTTTGCAGTTGATGTGCTTGAATTGTTCTTGCCTTGGAACATGTCCCAACCAGCAGAAACCTCTATGGAAATTGTAAGGAAGCTTCAACATCTTCTTGAGCAGGCTTATGCTTCTCCGTTTTTCAACATCAGTCAAGGTCTACAAGGTTCCAATCTCACCACTTTTGACTTAGAACAAGTCATCTCTGTAATTCAGAACATTCAGTCAGCATCTATACTGCAGACTCTAAATATGTCAATTCAGATCTCACAATGCCTGAACACTCAAACACCAGGGGATCCTGCCAGTGAAAAGTCTAAATGTGTCCTTCAGCTCATTCAGAATGCTGTTGGTTTACTTGAAATGCTACCTGTGTCAGAAAACATTCAAACGACTCTTAAGGACTGGCTTAATATCACTGCAGTGGAGTATCAGAAGCTAAATGACATGCCCAGCTCTGAATCTGACCCATATGCATTGACCGAGGAAATTCTGATAGCAACACTATCAGCTATCAGACAAAACCTTCAGGGTCTCAATGCGGAGAATGTCACTGATATTACAAATGAGCTCAATGTTCTGGAAGATCTAATGACAAAGCTATTCAGAGAACAGTATCCGTATCACACCATAAACTCAACATTGATGGAGCAGGGGCAGTATGCACAGAAAATGTATGGAGAGATCGCAATGTGGTATCTAAACAAGCTTGGAAATTCCACCAATAATAGTAGTATGCTGGTCGAGATTCTCCATCAACTGATACTTATAACAGAATTGCAGATGGAACTCCAGAATACAGAGGCAGATATGGTGACGCTTGCAATGAATGAGATACAGAACTTGACCCATGTGCAGCTTCCTCTGGAGGGTGAGGATCTTGTACAAATTGCCAATGCAATTATGGCCATTCTGAAAGGTGAGCTGGCACTGATGAAAGAGCAGCTCAAGATTCAACAGGCATTCTATAATTATCTTGGCTCCCAAGTGAACATTAGCATTCCTGCTGAAATCGAGGCTCAGATCATGACATACATCTACATTACAAAGGACACAATCACTAACCCACAAGTGAAGACAGCACTTGGCAAAATATTGCAATGGAAGATTAGCTCTCTGAATATCACAACACTTGGAATGGACCTTGGGCAGCTTCTTCAAGCCATGATTCCCCTGCTCCCTCCAAATGAGTATCTTGCTGTTGTTGAGCAGATCTCCCAGAATGTAAACCATGCTCTAATGTTGGCTAGCAGTGATGGTGTCCAAAATGAAAAGTTCATCGAATCCATCGTTAGTGCTGTAGGAATGGAGCTGGAGAGTATAGCAAATGAGACTGGAGCTCTACATCAGGATGTGGTGGTCGATATTCTTGATGCTTTTAAAGGCTTCCTTGAGTTGATCCTCACCCCAGATATGAGCTTTGCTCAAAATAACAACCTCACACAAGAGACTGTTAAGAAGGTTGAAGGACTGGTTCTTGCCCTTTTGCCAGCAGAGGCTGCTGAGGTGTTGGTTCCCATCACCAACAGCATTCTCACCTATTTGAAAACCGTCTCAGAGCCAGGAGGTCTGAATTACTGGAATGACCTGTAAGTGCCGACAGTGATATATTTGTCTAAATAATTCAGAATTTCTCTCTTTTTATTTACAACATGTATACCTATTAATAGATCAATTTCTGTTTTTCAGCATTATCAGTGTGATGGGGGAACTTCAAAATACTTTGCCATCAAACAACACAGCTCAGCCCACAGTATCCATGTTGATAAAGGTCCTAGAAATGGTTATTGGTTCAAATGGGGGCAACATGACAAAGGACTGGATCATTAACCAACAGTTGGCAATTGCACTTGACACAATCTTTCAGGGGAATGTTAGCTATGAAGAACTTGCAAACGCTGGGGTGAATGTTTATCAGCTTTTGGAAGCATTAGTCCCCTTACTCTCCCCTGAGGACCAAGCCTTTCTTGCTATTGCTGAGCAGGTGGCTCAGACAGTTTTTGCCACTGATGGAGGTCTTCAAAATGAAAACTTCACAGAAGCCATCATCAACAGTATCAAGGTGGTTCTGGAGAGTTTGTCGAATGAAACCGGAACTCTATCTCAGGATGTGGTGGAGAATATTCTTGGTGCTTTTAATGGTTCTCTTGAGCTGATCCTGAACCCCAGTTTGAGTTACTCCCAACTTAACAGCCTCACACAAGAAATCATTGGGATGGTAGAGAAAGCAGTTAGTGCCCTTTTACCAGACGAGGCAGCTGAGGTTTTGGTTCCAATCAAAAACACATTATTAACCTACCTGAATAACACTTCCCAACCTGCTGGATTTGATCAATGGAGTAAACTGTAAGTGTAGTGACTGTTGTTGCATATTGTTTTTGTTTTTTTTTTTGGTTGAGGCTTACTTTGCAACCACATTTGTAATTATGTACTGTCTGTGTATATTTAGATTAAAACTGATAGTTATATTGTTTATATTTTTCAGCATCCTAAATGTTATGACAGAGCTTCAGAATTCCCTGCCGTCAAACAACACAGCTCAGTCCGTCATATCAACGATCGTCAAAATCACAGAAGTTCTTCTGGGCTCAAACGATGGCAACATGACAAAGGACTGGATCATCACTCAACAACTGACAATGGATCTTTCTGCGATTTTCCAAGGGAATGGTAGTTTTGAAGATCTTGCAACAGCTGGGGTAGATCTTGACCAGCTTTTGCAAGCCCTGGCTCCCTTACTCACCCCTGAGGACAATGCCATCATTGCTGTTGCTGAACAGCTGGCTCAGATAGTAAACTACGCTGGCACTGATGGAGGTCTCCGAAGTGAAAACTTCACAGAAGCCATCATCAACGCTGTCAAGGTGGTTCTGGAGAGTTTGTCTAATGAAACTGGAGCTCTACCTCAGAATGTGGTGAACAATATTCTTGGTGCATTTAATGGCTCACTTGAGCTGATCTTGAATCCCAATATGAGCTATGTTGAACTTAGCAACCTCACACATGAAATTATTGGCATGGTAGAGGAAGCAGTTAATGCCCTTTTTCCAGAAGAGGCAGCGGATGTAATGGTTTCAATCAAAAACATAATTTTAACCTTCTTGAATAGCACCTCCCAACCTGCTGGATTTGATCAATGGAGTGAACTGTAAGTGTAGTGGCTATTTTATGCATCTTTTTTTCTTGTTGACCCTCACTTTGCAACCACATTTGTAGCTATTGTGTGTGTATTTGGAGTACAACTGACAGTTATACTGTTTATATTTTTCAGCATCACAAATGTTATGACAGAGCTTCAGAATTCCCTGCCATCAAACAACACCGCTCAGCCCATCATATCAATGATCATCAAAATCACAGGAGTTCTTCTGGGCTCAAATGATGGCAACATGACAAAGGACTGGATCATAAACCAACAACTGACAATGTCGGTTTTTGCAATTTTTCAGGGGAATGCTAGTTTTGAAGATCTTGCAACAGCTGGGGTAGATCTTGACCAGCTTTTGCAAGCTCTGGCCCCCTTACTCACTCCTGAGGACAATGCCATCATTGCTGTTGCTGAACAGGTGGCTCAGATAGTAAACTACGCTGGCATTGATGGCGGTCTCCAAAATAAAAACTTCACAGAAGCCATCATCAACACTATCAAGGTGGTTCTGGAGAGTTTGTCTAATGAAACCGCAACTCTATCTCAGGATGTGGTAGAGAATATTCTTGGTGCTTTTAATGGTTCACTTGAGCTGATCCTGAACCCCAATATGAGTTACTCTCAACTTAACAGCCTCACACAAGAAATCATTCGGATGGTAGAAGATGCAGTTAATACCCTTTTACCAGAAGTGGCAGCTGAGGTATTGTTTCCAATCAAAAACATATTTTTAACCTACCTGAATAACACTTCTCAACCTGCTGGATTTGATCAATGGAATGAACTGTAAGTGTAATCACTATTTATTGCATAATGTTTTTTTTTTTCCTTTCATGTTGACCCCACACTTTGCAACCACATTTGTAGTTATGTTCTGATTTTATATTTTGGAGTAGAACTGACAGTTTTACTGTTGATCTTTTTCAGCATCATAAATGTGATGACAGAGCTTCAGAATGCCTTGCCATCAAATAGCACAGCTCAGCCTACTGTATCCATGCTTCTAAAGGTCCTCAATATTATTATGAGTCCAAATGAAAGCAACTCTACAATGGAATGGATCATTACTCAACAACTGACGATGGCACTTTCTGCGATTTTCCAAGGGAATGCTAGTTTTGAAGATCTCGCCACAGCTGGGGTAAATCTTGACCAGCTTTTGCAAGCCCTGGCCCCCTTACTAACACCTGAGGACAATGCCATGATTGCTGTTGCTGAACAGATGGCTCAGATAGTAAACTACGCTGGCATTGATGGAGGTCTCCAAAGTGAAAACTTCACAGAAGCCATCATCAACACTATAACGTTGGTTCTGGAGAGTTTGTCTAATGGAACTGGAGCTCTACCTCAGGATGTGGTGAACAATATTCTTGGTGTTTTTAATAGTTCACTGCAGCTCATCCTGAACCCTAATATGGACTGCAAAGAAGCCAGCGGCCTCATACAGGAGACTGTCCAGATGCTTCAGGGAGTGATTCCTACCCTTTTGCCACAAGAGGTGGAATATATTTGGGTTCCTTTCACAAATGGCATACCAACCTGTTTTAAAAACATCACCCAACCTGACAACTGGGATGAAGTGTAAGTGTAATGTATTCCAAATTATTCTGGCTCTCTATCTCTTTTGATATATTTGTATACTGTCCTAAGATTACTTAATTTAAGACAAAAAGGAAGCAAAAAAAAACCATAGCAAAAAATATGATGTGTTTGTTGCCATGTTTGTGTTATATTCTACTTATTTTTTGTTTTTTTGTTTCTGTTTTGCTAAAAATCTGTTTAATACAGTATAATTTAGCCTATGATGTTCATAAATCATTTACATGATCAGTTTAATTGTATTTGTTAACATTA